CTGAAATGTTTTCTTATAGTAGAAAGTAAAACTTGTAAAAAGAATTTAATCACTTGTTTAGAGAGACTTGATGACACAGCAACAAAAATTTTGTGTTGCCACTATTGAACTGCTTTGTATGACCTGCACAGGTTTACCACACAGGTTGAAGATTCAAAATTTGGCACTAATCAAATTTTGTGTTTGTTTGCCTTTTATTTCATATCTACTTAAATGCCAAATATACTCTATGTGACAATCAGAGTCAAATTGTATCAATTTTTCTAGGGAAGTAACTTGCCATAAACCTGAGGGAGAGCTTTTTCCAAGCTCATAGGTATGTCAAGAAGAGTTGAATAACAGTTGGTTATCTATGTAAATGATTGAAGACTTCAATGACCTTAAAGCATTCTAAAACCGTGTCCAAGTTTCCTGGTTTTCTTTACTCTCTGATTGCTCTAAAAATATGTCTCCTATAGGGCAACTGATGATGAGAAAAACACGCAAAACTTTTGGTAGGCACCTAAATATTAGTTTCTTTTTTTCCTATCTTCCTTGCACACACTGCTTTTCTTCCAATACTAGAAGACAGAGTTGCTGTGAGACAGGAGACAAAAACAGCGAGGATCTGTTCTCCACTGCACTGGAGGAACAACTCTAACACAGGGCCATTTACATCCCTCAGTGGCAACCATACATAACTGTACCTCAAGGAGGTATCAAAGATTATAAAGGCCTATCCCACCCCAAATATGGTTAGAAAGTATGCCTGAACCTTTAAAGTGCGTTGGTGTCAGTTTACTGTCATAGCTATAGTCAGTTATGCATCACTGGCCAGGTGGGCTTCAATTTAAGAAAACTGTAAAAAGATAAATATATTGAACACTCTATGGGAACTTAACTGCATCCTTAAATGACTCTCTCTGTGCTTTTAGAGAGCTTTCTTGCATCAATATTATTCTATATATAAACATTGGTTTACACACAACTCAGAGACACCAGTAAAGTGCTTATTGATCTACATAATTACAAACATTTTATAAAATGGAGCACTTCTAATGCCATACTTAAGAGATGAGTGGTGTTTATGTGATTTTTTAATATTGGGACCTAAATGTGAGTATTAGGAAAAATTCAATTGGCTTTTTTAAAACCAGTTTTAGTGAGGTGTACTTTATACACTTGTTTTAAAATTTACCTGTTTTAAGCATACAACTTAATTTTTAGTTAATTTAGAGTTGTGTAACAATCATCACAATCCAGTTTTAGAATCTTTTCAATTGATCCCCAAATCAATAAGCTCTAATAGCATTCCTAGGGCATAAGAGAATTGTTTTTTTACATTCCTTAGTCTAAATGAACCACAGTCCACAGGCTTTCACAAGAGATCAGAAGACAAAGTGAAGCTAGCCTTTATCTTTTGAACCGTATCCATGTTCCAGGTGCTCCAACTTTAGAAGTAGCAACTATTGACTTCTAAATTGACTACAGTATGAGGTAAGATTGGAGGATAAAATTGAAAATGAAGGGAGAAATCTTCACCTTCTTCAAGCTGAAGAAGTGGTAACATTGACATAAATTGGGGAAAGCTGGAGAAGACTTGAATAGAATGAAAAAAAAAATCCAGTCCAAATGAAGGTGCCAAGCAACTGACAAGGAATGAGAAGGGCTTTCTCTAAGTCAGTTAGTAGAAAATAAGTGACTTAGTTCACAGGCTGTTTCCCATTTGGAGGCTGGTTTGCTATGTGCTTTAGTGAGAGAGAAACTGAAAATCTCTCAGCAGTATCAAAGTATAACAATAAATCTCACAATATATGGCACAATAAAAGTAAAGACTATGGGTGCTTGACTTTGAGACCTATAATCTCCCATTTAATCAGAATACAGATTCTTCCATCAGCAAGAAAATACTGGACAATTGAATTTTCATTTCTACTCATGCACAGGCCTGCATTGGAGCCCATCCATGTTTTCTATTATGTTACTTGAAATATGGCTGCATAGTTTGATACAAACAATATCTCAAACTGACAACAATTTAGTTTTGGACCAATTGATTTCATTCTAAATTATTGCTGGCTGACAGATGCTGGTAGCTGCCTACATGAGATGCAAAAAAGCCATGTTCTGTAATTTAATATTATAATAATTTAAAATTACAGCTTTATTAAGAGGAAACACAGATTTATTTATATTCTAACACTGATGGTTCCTAATGGCTTTCAGGGCCATATAACACTATTCACTATAACCCACATTTGGACGATTTCAATTGTCTTGAATCACTAACAAAACGTTCTGGTGGAAACAATTTCCTTCTTGATGTAAAGCAATGAATAAACACTATCAAAGCAGCCCTGAAGACAGCCATCTTCTCTAAAATGTCTTTTACTCCTCCACCAACCCACCTACAAAGAACATTTCTGCCTTGGAGCCTAGAAACAATTTGCCTAGAAAGCCTCCTGCGGTGTTGCAAAATCCCACTTTGCCTTCAGTGTGGGATTTGTGGGGATTGATTCCTAAATCCTATGTTCCTCTTCCCCTCTTCATATGGTGAGGAATTATCTTCCTGATCCAGTAGTCACTTATAAACAAATAACATTAATAATAAGTATGCCTGTCTCTTTGCAACCCATGAAATAGTTTGACATAATTTTCAAAGAGAAGGAAGTTAATCAAGATGTTAGCATTTATATACATAAGAAGAGGAAGATCAGAGCCTATAAATTACAGAAGGCCACCAGCTAGGAAGCAGCACATTTACCACTCAAATCCACCCTGTTCCAGCACCCTGACCCCAGAAAACCATCCTTTCTTCTGATTAGTATTGCAAATTCAGGCCTCCCCATGTCATCTCACTTTTTATTTCCTGTGTGAGGGGCCCATGGAAGGCAGGGCTTGTATGAGAGCCTCAGTATCCAGACACTCTTTTCTTTTAGTAGCAAGTGCTCAAGTTTGTACTGACTGATTATATAGCTGCCAATTATCATTTCTTACAATGTATGCAATATTCTATGTATATTAAGTTGTTAACTTGAGGAATTACTGTATAGTCCTCTAAGATTAATGCCTTCTTGGCAAAATGACAGAACCAACCTCAGCAGTATTTTTCTGGGGCCCAAATACATACACTGGTGCCTAGTCTACACAGTATGAAAATCTTCTGTAGACTTACCCTTCCTCTATCAATAGCTCCAACATTTCCAAAGTAGCTGGTCATACTGGAAAACATACTATTGATATTTTTGCAAGAACCACCTTAGACATTTCCAGACCCACAGACAGCAAGAGTCAAAGGCCAGTGCTCTTACCAAGCAAGACACAGAGCTCAGTGTATTCTGTAGGTGAAAGAACACCACATGATCTTCACCAACACTTTGCCAACTAGTCACCCTGGCTTAAAATGCAGCCCAAATACTGAACTGCAGTGTTAGAACTGGAACTCAATCAGCCTCATTCTGATGACTCCTTTTCATTCAAAGCTGATCACTGCTCTGCTTGTCCCTGCTTTTTAACCAGATCAAAGCTATAGCAGGCCAGAGTTTCTGCTGGTACTGCATCAGCCCAAGCTGTCAGGTTATTCCTCCTGACTTACTTCTCAAAGGCTGGCTGGTGATGTAAACCAGCTTTTGGAAACAGGGCAAGTACTTTTGGTATTTACAGTCAAAACCGCACATCCTACCCACAAACTTTCACAAGGTCAGGCCAGCAGAGTCAGGTCAGCAGTTTGTAAATATGCCATTTTGTTAGCAGTTTCAGAAGAAAACAGTACCCAAACTGAGGGGGAATACCAGGCAAGAAGATTGCTCATGTCGGGGACTCTAGGGTTCTTATACGGCCTGCCAAACCTTGAATATTTGTTTCTAAATTGAGTAGCCGACACAGATGATGCTGGAAACCTATCTTCAATGTCGAATCAATCCCTGGTAGTAAGTGCCAGAGCTTAGGGCGGGTGTGTGGTTGGAAAAGAGCAACATGAGGGAGGCTAGTGGTGATGACAATGTTCGGTGTCTTGACCACAGTGGTGGATACATAAACCTACATATAAAACTCATATGACAGAATTGCAGAGAACTCAATACTTGCATAGGTACTACTAAAACAGGGTAAATCTGAGTAAGATTGGTGGATTATATCAATGGCAATGTCCTGGTAAGAATACTGTACAGTAGTTCTGCACGATGTTACCATAGGGAGAAGAATAGGTAAAGAGTGTGTAGATCTGTCTGTATCATTTCTTACGACTGCCTGTGAATCTACAATGACCTCACAACAAAAAGTTTAAATAAAATTAAGCATATTTTAAAATGTGGCCCTCTACCATAGCTAGAATATGAGAGAATGCGAGCTGAACACCACAAATTAAACATACAAAGTTAAAAATAAAGTTTAGACCCTGGTTCTGGACTTTCTAAAAGGGCTACCACTCAGGTTAGTTTGCCAGTAGCCTCATACCCACCAAGGCCTTTCCGCTAAAAGATCTCTGACTTTTGTTTATGCAGACAGACTTTAGCCCCCTCCTTTTTATCACACCACACAGTGGTGTCTTAACCTCGGAAAAACTCACTCCTGTTTTGAACTAAGTGGTAACTGCCATACCAAAGCTCATTTTAAACTCAAAGTCAAAATACTTAGTGCAGCATCTACAATGAGCCCTGCCATTTTACATGTGTGCCCATTTACATTTTTACAGTAAATACACCTCACTAGAAAATACGAGCACAAGCGCTCATGCCCACTTATACAAAAAGGTTTATTCATGATTATCTTCATTAGATCTTGCAAGGAATTTCTGCTAAGGCCAGGGAAGGTTAAAAATCCCAGGCATTCCATTTTTGTGTGCAAACCACCATCACCTTCCTTCTTTACAGAATTCTGATACCTAAAGCTAAGCAAAGCTTCGTAAAGAGTAGGTATTGCAATGATCATGTTAGCTCTCATCACACTGCTTAAAGGGTCACGCTGGGCTTTGCAGCACTTTGCTAACTCTGTAAAAAGGGAAGAACAATGTCCTTACTTACCAATGTCATTGCTGCGGTCTGAGAGGTCCTTGTCCAAGATGCTGGATAGCGCACTGCCCGCCAAATCAATCTTTGGACCGTCACCCCTATGTTAAAAAGATAAGCCCAAAAATTTAATAATTGGTATGTGCCTTCATCATTCTGTCAGCTTTCTGACTGCATACACTTTAAGGAGGGTGCTGGACTTGGGTGAGTGGCACTGTTGCTTGCAAGAGACCTACAGGGTGGCAATGAGCTATCCAGTCACATGGGCCAGTAAACTGGATGGCCCCCTCTCTTGCATATGTATTTGAAGATGGCTATTTTAATAATAACTGTTCGCCAGAACACCTCCAGCCACAAACCCTCCCACTGGGTACACAGGATTAGGACATAGGCCTTCTCCCGCCCCATGGCCAAATAAGCACTGGTAAACTGGGAGCTTCCCTTTTAAGGAACACAGAATTTAGCCAATACTGCTTGTCAAAGGTCAGCTACTTTTAACCTTGAGAAAAAGGTTCTCAGGCCTGGGGCTGAGGCATCAGCCAGGCTGTTGACAGGGACAAGGTGTCAAGTTGAGATCTGGCAGCCTAAAAGTTGGCACTGAGGCGCAGGTCTGTAAAATGAGATGGCCTGGGGGGGTTGCTTCCATGCCCATCAGGACATGAATGACTTCCCCCTGGACCTGGGCTGGAAGCAGCACACATTTGCGATGAACACGCCTCCAAGATGATGACAGAAACATAGTCTCCTCATGCATTAGCATAGGTTCCTCCAAATGCCTCCAACAGGGCAGCTCTCTGGCTGCTTTGGGAAATGAGTCCTGAGCAAAATTATCCCAGGTCATAACAACAGTTAAATAGGAAAATATTCCTGTCTATAAAATGAGAGGGAAACCTAGCAGTTGTTCCAGGCAAAGCAACAGATTTACTCAACAAGTGCTCGTCAAATGCCTACTGAGCGAGGGGTATGGAGAGGGCCCAGGGAGCCAGTAACCACTGTAGAAAGGCACATTATCTAAATGGGAAAGACAAATACACAGACAAACATAGGCCCAGCATGGCACAGGCCATGCAAGATACAGATGTGTCACCATCCTGGATAAGTAGGGAATCTCCATGGCCCAGGATGGGCCCAGGTATACAGAACAGGCAGTGTTACAGTTGAGCCTTGGAGGAAAAGGAGGTGAGAACATATTGTAAGAGGTATGACTGAGGAAGGACCCCAGTGTGGGTGAGGGTGACTACGTGGTCAGGGCTCCCAAGTCCCCAGAGAGAAGCAAGAGGAGAAGAGTTGGCTAAGTTGGTGAGGCCAGCCTGTGCTGGACCAGGCATGGCAAAGTTTGGCCTGTCCTGAAGGTAATGTAATGGAGGATAGAGGAAAGGTTGCAGCAGGAGACCTGTAAACCTGGAGGAAGTGTGGCTGGCATGGGTGGACTCTGAATGAGGGAGTTGGTAGGGAGACTCCTAGGCTTCTCAATGTAGAAGATGGAGTGGCAGGAACATTCAGCATAGTGGCATGTCTTTGTAATGGTGAAGACGACCCATGGGAAGGAGGTAAGCCTTCTCCACTTTCCAGGTGGAATACCCCTGACTCACCCTCCACCAGAGCTGAGGACTGGGACTGAGCCCAACAGCTTAAAGACTGTCCTGTGAGTATACATTATGAGACTTGCTGAACCGTGTCAGCTAGGTTGAAATAGAAGTTTAGGCATGCCATGATCAGCTGAACATGGAAAGGAGAAACAGCTTGGATTTCATAGATGTACCTTGTTTCCTGACTCACCCAACTTTCTGAGGCCGTGGAGCCCCAAGCCAGGGCTCTATCACAGACTCTCTCTCCACCCCCTGGTCAGGCCACTCAAGGCCACTGCCTTAGATAGATCCAGAGCTAAGTGGAATTGTAGAGGGGAGGAAGTTTATTTCCAAACATTTTATTGTCAGAGCCCCATCATTCATTAATTTGAAGGTAGAGTCAGTCCTCTATATCCATGTATTTCTCATCTGTGAATTCAACCAACCTCAGACTTACAACATAGCAGAAAAACAGAAACAAATCGTATGATTTAAAAATGGGCGAATGAGTTAAACAGACATTTCTCAAAAAATATACAAATGCATACCAAAAAGTTTTCAATATCATCATGAAAATACAAATCAAAAGCATAATGAAATATTATCCCATTCCAATTAGAATAGTTTTTATCAAAAACATAAAAAATAACAAATGCTGACAAGGATAGGAGAAAGGGAAACATTCATATACTGGTGGTTGTGGTGGTTAAGGTAAATTAGCATGGTTATTATGGAAATAGTATGGAGGTTCCTCAGAAACAAAAGCAGAACTACCACATGATTCATCAGTACCACTTCTAGACATAAAATTCAAAGGAACTAAAATCAGTATGTGACAAAGACATCTGCACTTCACTACTTACTGCAATGCTATTAACAATATCCAAGATATGGAATCAAACTTCATGTATCTCGATGAACAGATAGAAAATGCAGTATAAATAATAATGAAATGTTACTCAGCAACAAAAAGAATGAAATTCTGTCTTTTGCAAAAACATGGATGGAAATGGAAGACATTATGTTAGGTGAAATAAATTAAGAACAGAAAGACAAATACCACATGTTTTCACTTATTTATAAAGCCAGAAAATTATCTTAAAGAAGCAAAGAATAGAATAATGGCTACTAAAGCCTGAGAAAGATGTAGGAAGGGAAGGGGAGAGGATGATTAATGGGTATAGGAGTACAGGTAAAATCCAGGAGTAACTTTAGTGTTCTTTTTCACACCAGGATAACTACAGTTGACAATAATTAATAGATATCCAAAGAGCTAACAGAGATTTTTGAATGTTCTCAACACAAAGAAATGATAAATGTCTGAGGTAATAGATATGCCAATTACCCTGATCCAATCATTTTATATTATGTACGTGTACTGAAGTGTCACACTGCAACCCATAAATACATATAATTATACTGTGTTAATTAAAAACAAATATACTTTTTTATTTTATTTTTTATTGGTACTGGGGATTGAACTCATGACCACCTGCTTGCAAGGCAGGTGCTTATGCCACTGAGCTAAATTCCCAGCCCCCAAATATATACATTTTTAAAAAGAAAACATTCAGGGGAAAACTGTATCTATACTGAACATATACGGTCTCCCCCACTTGCCAGTATTCCCTACACTATGTAGTATAACACTTATTTGCACGGCATTTACAATGTACTAGGTATTATAAATCATCTAGGGCTTATTTATGGTATGTAGGAAGATGTGCACAATGTAAAAATACTATACAACTTTATATAAGGGACTTGACCACTGGAAGATTTCGGCATCTTTGTAGACAGAGTTCTTGAAACCAACCCCCTCACAGATACAGAAGACAACTGTAATTTTTTGAATGAAATGTTTTAGAAAGCAGAATTATTAGTTGTAAAGTATTTTCATTTTTAAAACTCTTCCTTTCCCAAGAAAGGAATAAATTAGGTGAGTGTGGTAGTACATGCCTGTAATCCCGGCACTCTGGGAGGTTGAAGCAGGAGGATCACAAATTCGAGTCCAACCTGGTCAACTTAGTGACTTAGAAAGACCCTTTAAGTTTTTTTTTTTTTTTTTTTTAAAGAGGAAAAAAAAAAGAAAAAAAAACAAAACAGAAAAAGGGTAAAAATACATAATTTCAACAAAAAATAAACAGCAAGAAATCAGTAATAGATAAATTACATAGTGTTCTCTTGTAAATAGCTGTTCAAGTTACAAAAGTAAAGCATACAAAGTGGACATTCAAACAGCGAGACTGCAAACAGTTCTGTTCCACTATCCAACAAAACTTATTAATATGGTTATCAATCCTACACACTTAAACATACATGCAGTTATATCCTTTAGAGCACTTTCTTTTCCTCCTTTATTATAATAGCAATTACATATTTAGGATTATGTTACTCCTAAATTTCTTATTACTTTTTATGCTAGAGACACAATGTGATATTTATAAATATGATTATTTATTTCACTAATTAGGATAGTCTCAAGTTGTCTCCGTTTGCCTACGAAGGCCTCAAGATCATCCTTTTTATAGCTGAATAATATTCCATTGTATAAAAATACCACATTTTTTTCATCCACTCTGCAGTTGATGGGCATCTTGGTTGTTTTCAAGATTTAGCTATCACAAATTGTGCTGCTATGAACATGGGTGCACTTATCGCTGTGATAAGACCTATTCAGTTTTTCTAAGAAAACACCGAGGAGGGGAAAAGCTGGATGGAATGAAACTTCCAATTCTAGTCTTCTGAGAAATCTCCATACTGATTTTTCTATAGTGGTTGCACCAGTTTACACTTCCATCAACAGTGGAGAAGTGTTTCTTTTTCCTCACAGCCAACATTTGTTATCAGTTGATTCTTGATGGCTGCTATGCTTTCTGGAGTGAGATGAAATCTCAATGCTGTTTTAATTTGCATTTTTCTAATGACTAGTGATGGTGAACATTTTTTCATGTATTTATTTGCCATTTGTATATCTTCATCTGAGAACTGTGTGTTCATCTCAAATGCCCATTTTTTGGAGAGTTAAGACACTTGGTTAAAAAAATTCAAAAAAGGGCTGGGGGTGTAGCTCAGTTGGAAGGTCAGGCCTTGGGTTCAATCCCCAGTATCAAAGAGGGAATAAAGAGAAAGCTAAGAAAAAAAGGAGCAAGTTCCTAAGGCCCTTGGATATTCTAAGGGACTCTCCAAACTAGTAAGACTAAACTCAAGTATGCTCATAACCAGACAGTTCTATCCTTTCAGAAAAACACCAAGAACCAGAACTTAGAAGAACTCAAGTCCTGTCCAGGGAGAGAGGTCACTCAGGCAGCGGGTCTAGTTAATTTCATAAGGCCCCTCCTACCGCCACATGCCCTTAGTCAAGAGGGAAGATGGTTTGAGGTGGTATCTTTAAATCACAGAGGTTTTTGGAAGCAGATAGAATTTTGATAATGAGTTAATCACACACATCTCTAAATAGCTTGACTACTTCTGAACATGTGGTTTATCCATGTATTTTGGTAACCATCAATCTTGGAGCACTGTGCCCCTCT